TACAATAGATGGATAAGAGACATAGTTATGACTATTAAATGGAATATTGAATTGAATGAGTCCTGCTTTTTTTGTGTGTGAATACATTATTTCTAACACATTTATGCTTTTTGACAAGAAAATCGTAACTCAAGGGACAGTTTGTATTTTTCATTAGTTTTTTTTCTTTAGTTTTCAGAGTTCGATCATTTCAGTTTAGTTTTTTTTGTTTCAAAATGTTTAGTTTTAGTTTAGTTTTTATTAGTTTCAGTATTTATTTTGTTTATTATAATATAGAGGTATTTGACAAAGATGGATCGAAACTAAAGACATTCCTGTGTATTTATTTTATTTTAATTAGTTTTGTAACTATAGAATATCGTTTCATTTGGTTTTGATTTTTGTTCCAAAGTCTAGTTTTGTTTTTTTAAGTACTAAAACATTTTTTTTGTTTTTTATTGTTTAGTTTTATTAAAATATAATAACCTTGCTTCTGTGTTATATTAACTTTTGTCAGGCTCACTGTTGCTGTATATTTACGACTCAAAGATATATTAAATACTTCCTAGAAATGGAAAAGTTTAGGTGGTACTCTGACCTTATTAACAAGTTCTGACTTTTTTAAAGCACTTTAATGTGTTTATGAGCACTCAGTTGATCGGAGTGATTTTAAGCTTATACATATATAGGCCACCTTTTGTGTAATTAAAGTGGCTTTATTAATCTTGTGACATTCTTTCCATAACATGATCAATCTTAAACGTAGAGAAAGAGCCATTGCGCACTACTTGTAATCTTATCTGATTTTATATGGAAACAAAATGTCGATTACATTGTTTTAGTAGAGACGACTGAGTTTTAATGTTTTGAGATGAGGTTATTACATTTAATGAATTTAATTTTCCAAACAATGAGTAAGAAATGAATGATGATTGGTTGGCTCAATACTCAATCAAACGTCTTCTGGTTTCACCTGGTGGAGTTTAAGATTAGCTCAACAGTTAGTAAATTTGATGGTGCAAAATTATGGGGGAGGGCAGCTTGTGTGTTTGAGTGTTGTTTCATAAATGCCATTGGAGTCAGATACATTGTATTTTAGAGCAGTCAGTTTATTGATAATTTAATGACAGATCAGCTGGTTTATTGTTTTAAATCATATGTTAGCATATTGAATTGATATGTGTATCTAACTCTGGGAGATCTTTTCAAATGACCAACCCAGGAAAGCATACATATGAGAGCAGCATATATATAGATTTTTGGTAATGTGGTTTATGATACCTGATTCCCACAGTTATTGATGACTTTTTTGCTCCTATTGATGCTTATATCATAATCCTTATCTGATCTGCACTGATTACTTTAGATCAGACCCTACCAAATTATATTTGACATTAACAGCTAAATTGACAACACACTAATTTCCTACTCCCAACTATCACCTTGACACATCCCATTTCATTATCAACGGGGTAAACAATTAAAGTTAGCAAGGAACCCACATGAGGTTGTAACGTAGCTTTTGTACTGTGTGACACAGAGCATGTGTTTCCTTTGTTTAAAATTAGACTGCACTGCCAGGTGTGAATGGGGTCACAGAATAAATGTTAAGTGAAATGCCATTGGCCCAGTTGTACAATGCTCAGCAACTACCAGCTTTCAGATCTATAATGAAAGCCTTCAGCACCACCTGACTGTACAATTTATTGATTTGCAAGACTGGTCGCTTGTATGTGGGCAGTTTGTGTGTTTTATGCGATATATTGCAGGTAGCTGTGAAATATTTGTTTTTATATGAGTGTTTTAAGTGGACGGATGCCACCATGTAATTTCCTGGGTGCTAGGTTGATTAAAATGTTTTTAAAACATGTTTTAGGAAAACACCTGTAGTTATGAAACCCTCCTACAAGTGGTGCACTTTCTCTTTGCTTCCACTGTACTTTTATTGTCGAGGTCAGAGCCTTGAATTGAGCAATTTTGGATCTACTACAGCAACAAAAAGGGCCTTAAAATACTGTAATGTAAAGCTCCAACGGATTGTCTAGTAACATTGGTAAGGGATCTGACACATTTAACACTTTATTGTCAGTTGACAGATTTTCTGATTCACTCAGATGTCGAGCGAAGAGGAGCAACCCAGTGCAGTCGTCATGAAGAAAGCTTAAAAGGCTGTAATCTGTGGATTTGCTCGCTGAATTGGATAAAAAGGTTAAAAACCCCTGAGTGAGAGTTTCCGCTTTAGTCTTCATCATGGGGTTTAAAATACAAATCACCATGGCATACACTTATGAAAAATACAGTCATTACCATAGTATTGGATTAAGGGCTTTGGACTGAATAGTGCTACGGAAAGAGGAAAGAAGAGGAAAAACAATACCATAACCCTGTTTGTGTCTTAATGAGTGAAGTGACTCCTTATTTTGTTGGCTTCTTTTGACAAATTTAAGCTTATTATGCTGTTGAAACCTGGATAAGATTCAATTTAGTGCCGTTTGTGTTCAAAATTTAACACGTTTGGAGACCACATAAATTGTTTTTATTCTTAATATTTGTTGTTGAAATGTAAGGCAAGAACTGTGAATTCAAATCTGTTTAATTGTTTACAATATTATGTAAGATTAGTAGGTGAATGCACGTTTTCATTCATGACTTGGCTCGTGCATGCATGTCTGAAGCACTAGTTAGTTCACTATCTTAAAATAAAATCTTGTGTAATATAGTATTATACTGTAGAAACAAATAAGGCATTGTACGAACATTATTGCGGTGGTGATAGGAGTTGAAGCTTGAATGCAGAAATATTGGACCACTGCATTGGCATTGGCATAACTAAATGGTGAATGGAGCCACAAAGAGCTGCTAAATAAACAGTTATCACAGCCAGAGAGAACAGGGAACAGGCTGCTGATTGTGACAGGAAAAAATAAAGCCCTGATACATATGGCCAGAGAGCACCTTTATTACCTGTGTTGCATATTACCAGAATTAGATTTTTTCATATAATTAAATCTCACAAGGGAAAGCTGAAATAAGATATAAATCCGGGATGAGTAAGATTCAAACAACCTTCTTCTACTCCCTACCCCTAAATAAGTTAGACTACCCTCCCTTCAGCAAAACAAGTACAGGTATAACCCTCACATAAACTTTTTCTGACCCCTCCTCCCCTCTATTAATGTTCATACAGTCCCTCAGAACAGAAATGTCTTCAGTAATGCAGAGCCAGTATTTTGATTCCTCTTTTAGTTTCCAATATTTCTTTCTTAATTACTATGTGTGTGTTAGGGTTAGTAATCACCATTAACTGTAATCTCTGAAAGAGTAACCCTGTTCTTCTTCTTGACCAATATACTAAATTAATATGTAGACTGAAATTACATTAATCAGTAATTACAGCTACAGGCCTTCCTGTCAGTGTGTGCATGTGCACTTGTTTACACACAGCAGTCACGTTTGCATGTATTCCTGTGTGGGTTGCATATTGAGAAGCTAGTGAGTCATTGGACTTTGCAGATCAATGACTGTCGGTCGATGGATGGCTGAGTGCTTTGCAACGACCACCCAATCCAAGCACTCTACCCACTCTGTCAGGCAGCCAGGAAAGGAGGTCACGTACACAAATTTCCTCTCACTCCTCCCTTGCTTTCCATTTTTGCAACACACTTTTCTCTCACAACTTTGCTTCTCTCCACTCATACACACATGCACAAACACACACACACACACACACATACACACTGGATAAGCCGATGAATTCAGCCCGTGGTGGAGTTCTGGATCAGAGTGGAACTTGTTTCACTACAATGTAAGACAGACTAACAAAGACAACAGAGACAGGGAAGAGAAAAGGAGAAAAGAGGATTTGAGAGAAATGAGAGGCTCGACGAGATAAAAGCTGACGAGAGGGAAGACAAAAGAGAGGGAGAACTGAGAACAAAAGAGAAAATAAGATGGCTAATTTTACTGAGGAGGATTTGGAGCACTGCCTACAGGACCAAGTGAGCTGTGTCTGTAACTGTACTGGTCAGAAGAGTACAATAAAGGTTTTGACTTTGAATGTACTTGTCGGTTCATTGTACTGTCAAAGCTGTGTGAGTGTGTGTGTGTGTGCACATTTCAGTTCAAGTGTGTGTGTCAGTGTCCTTGACATGACAGAATCATACCAAACCAAAATTGTATGAAAGCTAGAGAGTCTACAACAATAGTATGTGTCATGTACGTCTACTTGATCGAAGACACACATGTTGCATGCACTCATGAATATTTCATGAGGGCACTGGGAAGGAGCAACTATGGATCTTAATTTATGGATGAGTGAAGTTAGCCCATTTAAAATATTCATACAAACTGGAAAGTAAAAATGCAGTTTCAAAATATTCTTTTCATTTTCCATCCCAGATTGAAAATTTAAATATGTATAAGTTTGCACATTTGGTAAGAATATTAAAATGTTAGAAAGAAATTCTTCAAACCCATCTCTTAATTTATGGCTAATATTCAGATGGCATTTAGTATTTGAAAGATCAAATGCTGTACAACAGTTGCAATAGTAAGACACACTACATCAACTTGTACATTTCAAAATGATTATGCTATTGCATACCTATATGTTCATCA